AGGACTGTTGGTCTTTTGTGGTCTTATATACTTTGCTTCCGTCCAACTTCCTTACCTCTCTCACACCCTTGTACATAAACTCCATTGTTATTGTACCCTGAGCCTGAGTCCTGCCTTGTAGTTGTGAGCACACAAGACTCAGCAATCATGACAACAAGACTCAGCAATCATGACATTAGCCCACCACCTTTGCTAGTTTCAAAGACCATCTGCTGATTGGCACATCTGGCCCCAAACTGTGAACTTCTGTCTTTAGACTCTTGTTAACCCATTTAGAGGTTTCTGAACAAATAATATAAGTGCAAACAACTTCTCTCCCTGCCTCTGTAAAATTCCCCCTAAGTTCTGACCTTGGTGGAATACAACTTGGGACTTCCCTTTGGCTGTGGATCCAGACAATGATTTCTATTGTTCAATAAAAACTTTCTGACTATATTTAGCTTGATTATTTTTCTATCAACACCAGTATAAGGAAGGAACTGTGTGTTGTTTACTGATATGAAAGGACACCAAAAATTGTAAAGAGAGATACTATTATCTGATTTTAAAGTTGGTAAAGGTTCCAGCATATTTTCCAGACAACAAATCTAATGAACCAACCATACCACCAAGGGTTTAGAATTGATGAAATATGCATAAAGATGAAACAGGTTGCTTGTGCAATGTGACTCTGTGATATAACAAGCAAGAAAGAAGATAATAAAGTGGAAAAAAATGTCCTCTATAGTTAATGCTTTCCTCAAAACGATCAATATCACATTAAATTCTAATTGATTTTAAAAGCTTTCATCTGGGCCCTCTCTGGACAATTAATAGGAAGCTATAAACTTCTGGGTGTTCCCTCACTTGTATGTGAGATAAATGAGAAACTGTTTATGAATTATTGCTTATTTCACTTTCAAGGGCACCTGGTTGAAAATCACTCTAGGGGTTCATTTGGGATGGTCCCTAATTTCTGCAGCAATGTTACTAAACCAATGCTTGATTGGTGTAACAAACTAAAAAAAAATCTTCAAGGAATAAAACTACACAACTTTCATTTGTATTGACTCAGTTTTGGTTTTACCCAGTTAGACTATTAGGAAAGTATCCATTTTCCTTAAGATACCTATAATTTCCCATATAATAGAATTTTTTTAGGAAAGTGGCATTACTGAAATGCAATGCCTTAGCCAAGAGAACAGAGATCTTTATGATTTTTCAAAACCTACAGGTAATGTCTAATGTAGTACATTATAAATAGGAGATACCAAAAATAACAAAACAACATATTAAATGGATCCTCCTACATAGGCTTCAGTGCCAGGTTAATAGGAAACAACTATTTTGAGTCATCCTAAATCAGTCCCTAAGTTGTGCCCCATGAAAGAATTGCAGAGTTTCCTGGCTGTCTGAGACACATTCAAGTTGATTGCTGTATGTAGGTATATGAGTATTTCTAATGTGACTATTTACTGAATCGTCGAGAACCACTGCTCAGGAAACTCCTTTAGGAAGTTCCTGAACATGTTTTTATAAAATGTACTGTTCTGAGGAAGAGTGTAGAGCCCAACAAAAAATTCCAAATTAAAAAAAAAATTGAGGGCCCTCCCTGGTGGCGGAGCAGGTTAAAGCACAGCACAGAAGCTGAGGCCGCTTTCTCAGGAGTTCGATTCCCGCCT